AAGAGAGGAATAGTCGGGGAATAGAGGAATAGCGGAATTGAGGAATAGGGGAACAGCGGAATAGAGGAATAGCGACCGACCGACCGGAATACATTTTGAAACGTTCCCTTAGTTCCCTCAAAGAAAGTGAGCGCTTGACAATATCTAACTAAAGGAACAGAAGAAATGAGTAGAACTGATGGTTAACTTCACGTCAGAGAACTGGCATTTTCCTTATAGAGAAAACCAGTATGCTCAAAAGCAAAAGCAACCATTAAAAAGACATCTGTTATGGTAAACGAAAAAAATGCCGAGCAATCGGGGAATTGATTGACTTCTGCCGAGAGTTCCTTGGTTCTTAATGGGTACCTCGAAGGAACCTACCATCACTTCCGCGGGGAACCTCATGCATGAAAATTTCCTGAGTAAAACGTCCGAAAACGTTTTGTCCGGGACTAACGTTGAAAACGATGCGAAAATGTGACGGAATCGTTGATGAAATAATTAGGGAATGTAAGGACACAACTTTGAAGCGACTGGCACGAGTCTACAGTACGAAATCAATTACTCATTATGCAGCAAAAAAAAAGACGAAGATTCGGCGAATTATGCCAGTTCGAAATTTAGGTAATACGGATAGTATAGTGAGAAATATTTCTTTGAATAAGAAGAACAATTTCAGTTTTGTCAGTAACCACTGGTGACACCTCCAGTGGGTGTCAATAACCATTCCGTAAATTTTAATTAGAATTTAAACTTAATAAATTAATAACTCTGTGAATAGTTATCAGTTCAACGAAAAAACTGAAGGATATAGGTAATCAGGCGTCCTCTTCAACTGACATGGTCTGAGGGTATAGGGGCCCTTTAGGTCAAAACCTGAAACGTCGAAATAATAGGTCGAAAGTTCAAAATATAGATTATGCTGTTTCAAAAGTTGAAGATATTTTTCAACTTTTGAAAAGGCGAAGTGAATCTTCGAGTACTACACTTTCACCGTTTTTTCTATCTGGCTATATTTGACGCATGAGTTCGCAGACCAGTTTTTATTGTATACTCTTCTTTTTCAATTTTATCGCATACCGAAACAATCCGGTCATTTTGATATGAAGTATATATAAAGATCTTTAGGATATACTGAACAAATCTAAATTTAACTATACTAGTCGGAATCACCCATAGACGATAAGAGAGCAGGAATTTTGCATGGCCCTTTATGTAATTCAACAAATCTGACAAGTGCATTGGAAAATTGACCACTGATATAACTGACGTTTGCTTTCCATATATGATTGGCTGCAATACACTTAAGTGAAAGCCTAGATTGAAGTTTCAGTATTCTCTTCACGTCTCGGGACCTCGTTAGATGTACTGGTGTTTGCCTATTGGAGTTTCTTGTATCGGTATGTGCGCCATTTTGAATTAGATTTGTGATAATTGTGAGAATGTCGTTGAAATTACACGTGATCGACTCTCTAAATATCGCAATGATGTGTAACGGTGTATTTTGAAGATTATCCAGAGCATCGACATAAGCACCGTTCTCAATTAGCAAAATAGCAGCAGACGCACAGGGAAACCTGAAAATAGTTGAGATGAAATGTGCACTGTGTGTGAGTTGATGAAAATTGAAAGTAGCTTACTTGAAATGGCTATTCTTCTCTGAAGTTATCTCGTTGAGACATAAATGTAGCAGCGTGGAACAATTGTGGTTTGTTCTGAAGTTCAATCGATTTAAATAATTGATCACCTGGCAAATAATCACTTGTTCTCTTGGAGGTTTTAACAATAACACCTATAAAATCATCAATGAATGAAATCTAATAATGAAACTCATTGTGAAATTATATAATTTTGCTGAACGCTGGAAATAAAGCGAAAGATCGAAACTTCGTTCAGAAACGTTTCCATAAATGAAAACGACCAATTGCACTAATGTTAGTGAAAAAGCTTTCAAAAGATGGTTATTTCCTAGAAAAAGAGTCGCTGTTCTCTTTGTATCATAGTAACTAGTTGTTTGTAATGTACGATATTTCTGTGTGAAAGACTACCTTATTCTTTAATAATCGAGTTAATCGCACGTACCGGGTGTAATGGGATCTCATGCCACATTAACCGTCACAACTAGACCTGTGCGCCGGTCGGAAAATCAGCGTCGGCGAAACAAAAGTTTTCCAATCAGTGGTGACATGGCCCCCTTAAAAGATTTTCCTCCCTCGGCGGCGTCGTCTAAAAAAATCGTTCGATCGGCAGCGACTAAAAGACTTTTTTGACATTTTTCCATCGTCAGCGCCGGGATTGATTACAATATGGCTTCTTGTTTTTCTGATGACCTTTTTATTCCAAAACTTTTTTTATCGACGAAGGATAAAACCAGTTTGTATTTTTAGCATCGACGACGGCGGGGAATTCCTGAAAATTTCGACGCCTTCCGCGGCGGCGGCACTAAAAAGCCTAATTGTCCATCAGAGGTGACGGCAGCGGCAGGTACGCGGCACACAGGTCTAGTCACAACCTCACATCAAAAACAGAAACTGCCATTTTTTTGGTGATTGCATAAAATAAAATCACATTTTTCTAAAGTTAGGTCACAGTTTAAAAAACTTACCTTTGATATCACAACAATCAGAAACAACATCGTATAACAGTTATCGTCAAATATATGCTCTTCTAGCTTTTGTTCTTCGTTTTTTGTACAGTGATACATCACCGTTCTTTTGTGCTGTAACTGTACAATGACGCATTTTAAGATCTTTATCAAATCTTTAGTGTTAATATCAATATTACTGCGTGCCATTTCGATAAATACTTCAGCAAATTTTAATAAATTTTCATCCACCGGCTTAGCATGAAATATTTTCAATTCTAATACGCGCATCCATAAAGCTACGCACCGGCAATAGTTCGCTTTCTCAGCATATACTGCGCCTCGATACATTATAGACTGAAGCAAGGCACTGCTATTTGTTCCTAATATTCGTTCTCGGATGGCAAGTGCTTCCATATATAATGCATTCGCATTACAACGGATCGATTCCAATTCGTCCAGAGTTTCACATTCAACATGATTTTCATAGGCCTCCACTGCCGGCAAAACAATCTTCAGCGTAGGATTACTCAGATCTAAATATCTCATTTGCATGGCTCTCACCATATACTCAAAAGATATTTGTGTACGCTCATCGACATCATTTACATAAGAACTAGCTAATAATTCGAGAGTTTCGATGCGTTCCTCCTTGGAACACAACTTCGTATTATTACTAAAGTACTCTACGATTGAATTCCTCCGGTTTAGAGCTGCTATTGTCGGTGGAGTGGAGTTTTCGGAGTTTCTAATGATACCTGCTCCATTGCTAACAAGACATTGAACAATGGATAAATGATCTTCTTCAACGGCTGCATGAAGGGCCGTTGATCCTTCATCATTTGTTGCATCTAGTATACATCCTATTTTACAGAGGTAATCCACGAGCTCTTCATAACCTTTGTAGGAGGCTAACATGAGACAACTATGATTACGCGAATTTACTATATTAACATCAGCGCCATGATCAATCAGATATTTGACGATATCTAACCGCCTGCTAAAGCATGCTGCTCTTAACGGTGTGGACCTAGTTTTTGTGTAATGATTAACATTAGCTCCACGATCAATCAGCATTTGAATGATGTCTAAATGTCCCCAAGCTGCAGCACACCACAAAGCGGTCGCTCCTTTTATTGCATAAGCCTCAACTTGTACAGTTCCTTCTTTTTCCAAATCGATATTAAACTCGTTTAGTAGCATTTTGACAAGATCAGAATAGCCGTTTCTGGCTGACACAATCAGTGGATTCCACTTATCTGTTTCACATACTAGCAAATCATTGATAAAATAGTTTAGATACTCTGATGGTGTATAGCTAAGCAGAGTCTTTAAAGTGACTTTTAATCGTTCAGGTTTCGACGTGGAACAGAGCAATTTCTGACGAAAAAACGTTTTGAGATCAGTAAAACAGGACGTCGTCGTTTTTGTGATATTTGATATTTCATGTATCAGTTTTGCTATATCAATTGAATGTAGATAGAGTCTTCCCTCATACCAATTACCAGTAAGTTGTTTTCCATTCAAATATGACATTGTACCTTCACCATGCCTACTTCCATTCTTCCACATGCCACTATAGATACGACCATCTTCGTATTCGGCTCTTCCAAATCCATTGACAATACCTTCGTCTGTCCATTCGCCCTCGTAGATATCACCATTATCACATATATAGATACCGCCTTGTTTGTTTCCCGTCCACATTCCAGTACAAGTGGGATTCGATTTCCATGTCAAAGTGCCGTGGTACCATTTGTTTTCTAACCAGTGCCCAGTCCATTCTCGATAATGAGTATTTCGATATAAGCATCGACCCTCACCATGACGCTTACCATTTCTGACTTGTCCGTAATAGAGACACTGAGTATTATTAAAAGTCAATTCGACGATGTCAACGTAAAATAGTCTCATGTCTATTAGTGGAGACAAACATGAAGTTGCCCACTGCTGTGAGTAACTCTTCAAGACACTCATCTTAAAAATTTATGCGCACAATATCTAAATGACTTTCGTTGCGTTTCTGTCACTGATGTATGTTATTCAGCATTGAATTTTTATTTCATCTACTCGTTTGTGTACCGTATGATCATGCTTTTAACCCATTGTTTTCTCACGTTTTTCTATCCTTCATTCGAAAAACATCGAGTCATTGCTCTCTTATCAATGTGAGTATTTTCTCTTTTCTCCTATAGAATGATTTTTGTGTTTTAAAAAGAATAATGTATAATATGCGACAAATAAATAAATCCTTTTAGTTTGAACATGTATGTTAAAAATATATGAAAAAAGATGTCAAATTTTCTAGAACGTTACGAAAGTGATTCGCTAAACGAAACGTTATGTGTTTGAAATATGAACTTGACAAAAGAAGCTCAAACAGAATATTTAAACAGAGAACCTTTCAAATAATTTCTCGTACTACTATATCAAATTTAATGTGTTTGTGCCATCTTTACAAGATAAAAATTTTACAATGCCGTAGGTTCTCAATTCATTTCTCGTCTGATTTTGGCTTTTTAATAATTCTACTCAAGATTTCAACTTTGTACATGAATGCAGTTCAACATCGAGTTTATTATGATTTGCTCTTCCTAACATGAGGAGAGAAAGAATTTTTAAAACATTTTGATTTAAAATTCTCTCGATTAGAAGTGGAATCATTTATATTTCCAATGAGATGTCAGCATACGAAGTGTCTGAGACCTTAAGGGAAAAGAAATGCTACTAGTTTTAAATGGTACTAAGTCATGAATAATTTTAAAAGTAAACTACAATATTTTCGTCAAAAACAGCCAAGATATCTGTCCAACAAAGAACTGAGAAAACGTTTTTCTTTGAGATTAGTCACATACATACACTTACTAAACGAGCAAATTTGTATTGAAGACCTTACAGGAGACGAGAAATTCTTTGTAGAGATGCCAGAATAAACAATTGAACCACGCATAGGGTTAAATATCTAATCGAGAACAGACGTTCGGAAATGATTCTTACGTGAAGAGAGTAAGAAAAGAGATTTTTGTACATGAACATAGTTTATATGCGTTTAAATCTATTTACTATCTGTCACATGTACATAGTCGATTTACACAAATATTAAGACCTCATAGACGGTGTAAAAGATCAGAAATTATGAATTTCATGAGAACCGTAGGTCTCTAGCTGTTGCAAGAGTCAAAAAATGCAACCAATTTTACTAATTGTCTCCTACTTGTCACATCTCAACAGTGGGTACTTATGCTAGAGCAGGCGGACATATGTTATAAAACCGTTATAAAGTCCTAACTAGCTATTAAGAGAGACTCCGTGAGAAAATCGAGAATGCCGTAAAAAGACGATAAAATCTTCAAAAAATAAAATTTATTTTAAATAGGGTTTTCAGATTCTCCTTCCAAAGTTACCTATAAATTCAAGTTTGTGGCTTTTGAAAACTCAACTTTGTGGATTTTCTAGTGCTACTGCATGCGAGTTATTCTGAAATTCTCGGTACCGTAGAATGTCAAAACTTTAATACTTTAGTCTTAAGTAATCGTTATACTGTATAATAATAATTTGACAGCTCTGTAATGTTTTAATCAAAAAGCCATTTTAGCCAAAATGAAACTAGTATTTATGATCTAGATAAAAAGCGACGTCGAACCATGTAAAATCCGCTTAGTTTGTTTCTAAAAATTATACTACAGCGGCATCATTATCATCACTTCAACAAATAATTTATCGCACAAACTTTGCTATATTGTGCGAAGCATTACTACTTCCGAAAATGTGTTAGGCTTCTGATAATTTTTTGCGCACTTGACTCCGAGTTTCGCTTTCAGTACAAAGCAGAAAATTTTAGAACAGAATTTTTAGAAAGTCTGGTCTACTGTGTCCTTTTAGAATTCTAGAATATTAGAATTGCAGAATCCTGAAATTTAAATTTAATTCTATCTTTGTTTAATAGGCTTGTGAAAATTGTTTTTGTCATTTAATAGCCATGTAATTCCTGAATTCATCTACTCTGAGTTCCTGAGCTCCTAATTTCAAATGTATACACACATATATGTATATGAGCACATGACGTTTTCAGTTCTTGAGTTCCTGACGGCATATATATGCACATATACATACTTGGAGATTACGCTGATTTTACGCTGATTCCGAATATGTAAGTTTCATTGAGTTTCATTGGGATGCTCGACACTCGCTTATCCTCCCCCGTCCTTTCTGATTAAAATGGGACATCTCCCAGCTCTGCACGACCAAAGTTATAGAATTTACAAGAAAAGCCCTAATGTTCATTGTCAACTCAAAGCTACAAAAACAAGAAGAAATTAATTTAGGGCTTTTCTTGTAAATTCTATAACTTTGTAAAGAAAGGTCGTGCAGAGCTGGGAGATGTCCCATTTTAATCAGAAATTTGCGAGCTACAATTGTACTGTATCAAGAAAGGTTTTAGTTACTTTTTAGAGCTTCTGAAAAACTGTTTTTTCCGAAAACTCGATCTTCGGAGTCTCATATGCCCAAACCATTATGATATTCGGAATCATCATGCTCGATTACCTATTGTCCAATGAGTTAGTGATTCAGTAAATGATTATTACTCCAGGAATAAAGGATATTTTCGCAATCAGCTTTGGTCATTACCCCAGTAGCATTCCCGCTTCATTTCGTGGCAAGAATACAGCATCATCTTGCCGCGATTTTGACAAAAAAGTTGAAAACTTAATGCGAGATCGCTGTCGCGATCGCATTTAATCTTACTATTATTCCCGTGTAACGAAAATTTCACAATCTTGACGCGAAATAGGTTTTGACGGGCACTGAAATCCTGCTAAGATCGCGAAAAGATTGAATCGGGATGCGGACAAGATCGGGCAAAGAAAATCTCCTCAAGATCCTGTCGCGAATTGTACATGATCTTGATAGAATCCTGCCGCGATCCCATCATACTCTTGAGACACAATTCGAACGGGATCACAGAAGGAACTTGATCAAGAACTGGATTACAATTATAAGATCGCGATTTTGCCAAGATCAGCATTTTTTCGTTACACAGGAAAAAATAGCGTTCGCGGTCAGATCTCAGCAAGAATAGAACAGGAATACCACCAGGGTAATTCCCAAAATCGATGTCGATTTGCTACATTATTGGAAATTCAATTTTCTATAATCTGGAAAATCCGTCAGGATTTTATATATGGACCTGTTGAAAATCGCCAAGCATTTTCTACAAATAATTCCCGACTTTACAGTGTAGATCCGTAAAAAGTAATCCTAAAGAAACCTGACATTTAATTTTCTATTCGACGATCGTCTTTTCTTCTCTGCCAGTTTCATCAAGATCTGTGATAGTATGAACTGTTAGTTTATTGCACAATTGTATTTGTTGGGGCGCTGCCGTTATAATGTGTAGCTACTATACTGCTGTTGGTTCAAATTTTAGGAGAGTTGACTCCGCTTGGAATCATAGGATACATGAATAATTTCTGAGCAATGCTTGTTTTAGCTTTCGCACAGTGACAAGAGGATGGTGATCCGCAGAAACAGCGAGCTGATATAGTTAAGAAATAATGAGATATTCAAACATTTTATTCGCTAGATAGTACAATTTTGACAATAAAAACAGCACACAGCACAAACTATGCCGCATACATCCCGGTTGGTTGTGTCCAGAGTGTTATAAAAGCAAAGAAGGTATTTCGTTGGTTATAGTAAGCGAACGGTTGTTTTCACTAATGATATGCTATTTCGCCTGTATAATTTGGCAATATTGTGAAAATACGTCTTGATAAATTAATTCAAGTTTAAAAATACAAAAGTTAAAACTGCGAAGTCAATTTATCACACTCAGTTGTGTATTAACTCATCCATTGAACAAAGAAATTAATTATCCTGTGCTTATTGGACTTACTTTCTATTAAAACTAGAGCAAGAATAATTCTGTGAAAATAGAGGGCAAACAGGCAAGTGTTTTGTTATTATAAGCATCTAAACATTTTTTGAAACAGCATATACTATAGTTTTCGCTTGGCTGTGTTGTTATTTCAAATAAAATCGTATGAGATTCACATCAAAAACGTTTGTTTCTACTACGTGGTCGAAATGATGTAATGATAGAACAATTTCGCAATCTGTCACTATTACCCTTTATATCGATATAATGTTGGTGTTATAACACGTATTAGTAGAGATTCTTTTAAAAAAAGACGGTATTTATGTTGTTGAGATAATAGAATACGAAAATCTGTTAGCGTCGTTATGGGTCCCCTAGACTTGTAATGTTTCCTAAACGCTGATTTTGCGCTAACTTTTGGATATTTTGGGTCCGAAGCAGAATGTGTTTTCAGAAGATCTAAAAAATTAGTAGAAGAGGCATCATGGACCCGTGCTATAACTTTTGTACGGATTCTGGAGGGGTACGAAAAGGAAGTTATTTGTCTTGGATGAATAGGATACGGAATGTATTTGAATACCGTTCTAAGTCGCACGTGCCAATCCTCGTGCTCTATAAGTTGACTATGGGCAGTACCAAGGGGGAAAACCTCACTTTAAGTGTCTTTAAGTGTGTGCACCTCAGAGTTAAGTATCACTTAAGTGATTAAGTGTCATTTCAAATTCCGCATCTTCTTGGAATCTATCTATATTTTGAGTAAATAAAATACTGTATTGTAAGCTACAAAAACACTTACAAAATACTTATCAGAATCTAATGAGAATCCAATAAGCTTCCCGCAAGAAATTCGTATAAAACAGATAAGAATTACATTTCTGCATCACTTCCTTATGAAACTCTTACAACTTTCTTATAAGACTCTTATACTTCCTTATTGAATCCTTGGGACTCTCCTGCAGAATCTTATTTAAGAAACCGGTAAGAATTTTATCAGATTCTTGTCAGATTTATTAAAACTTTCGTCTAGGGCGGTCGTAGCATTTTAAAAATAAACACGCAAGGATAAATACGTTCGGTTAAATGGTATTTCAAGTGATTACGAAATATGCGCCCAAACGTGCTTTTGTTATTTTTAACAAAAACCAGTTTGGACGCGTTTCTTCACAATAGTCAATACCCAGAACATCAACAATGGGGGATGAGACGCACTTCAAAAATATAAAACACCTGTAGATGTGTTTTTTAGGACAATATTTTGAAAAATTTACTCATGCTTTTCTCGAAAATACGTGCTCAAACGCGTGCACATGTTTTAGCGAAAATACTTCAGGAGCAGAATTAACTGAAGAAAAGAAACACTGGAAGAAAGCGTACGATACAACGATTTACAAATAAAGAATATGCATCGTCATCAATGGAAGTCTGGGCTGTATAGTTCACAATGGTTGTTCGTGACAAGCTTCAAAAGTCAGAAGAATTTCTGAAGGGCTGACGAAGGATTTATTATTTAGTTGCATGGCCTATGAGTTGCCCAGCAAGTGTCGTTAATGCTACTGGCAATGATATAGTGCTTGTCACTTTATCGATGACGGTTTTAACAGTCGGTGTTGCATAGTGTTTATTATTTCCACCTTCTTTCAACGATTTATAGATTTCTAGCTCTTTCTTGTTCAAATGAAATCGCGCTGCACCATAGCCAAGATCGTCGAGAATCTCAAAGGCTTGATACCCAACGTTTGTGAGAAGTGAAATTTGATTTTTATACAAATCAATCAATTTCTCATCGTTGCTGTTACCTTGAGCTGTTTTGAGAATAATAAGTTGCCGTAGTAAATTGACATTCAAAGCAGGAATTGTTTCGCCATTGTTATTCGTATCCGAATGGGAATTGACAGGTACTATATAAGACGAATTGGCACGACATTCAATGGCACGATACTTTTGCTCAGAAGCAACTAAAGTGGACTGTTGTTGGGACGGAATCTCTTTGGATCGACTGCAGAATATCGAAGATTGTTTCGGTATGACTTCAACTGTAGTGATGGGAGAGGTAATTTGAACAGGATAGATGCCCTGCGCTTCACCACCGAGAATTTGAACAGCTTCCTCCACAATACCTACTTGTTCTCGGTTAGGTAAGAACGGCCATCGTGTAAGAACGATGAACAGAACAACACCATGTTTTTCCAGTTCGTTAAACATGTACCGGACAACTGACAAATTTCCCAAAGCCCCGGGTGATCGACAAAATAAGGCTGCACGTGGCATGATACGACGCACGTAGAATTTGTCATGCAAAAATGCTTTTGCATCAGATTCCTGCCACTGTTCAATACCTTTACAAAAAAGATGCTAACATCAGAAAAAATGATTAGCGTTTACGAGAAAAAATTCTACCTGGAGTGTCCCACCAGCAAACACCAAACTGATCGACATATCGTTCCGACATTGTTGTGCAGGCATTTAAGCCTAAACTGGTCTGTATATTTGCATCACCTGAGAGCGCTTTGATCAAAGCTGATTTTCCAACTCTTGCCGGTCCAAAGACCAAAATTTCAAATTCAGCTGAAATCTTCTGAATTGCTTTAGCATCAGCGATTGCAGTACTATCATAATCACGTCTACGAATTTCCAATAACTTTTGCTTCAAATAATTTAAAGATTCGGAGTTTTCTGTAGAAGGCTCGTCTTCTCGAGCGACTAATTGTGGAATACGTTTATTCATTATTTATCATATACTTCTTGACTTCTTCTGCACTTTCTTTGTTGTTCTCCTCTCAGGTTACTATTACCACGTTTTTTATTCTCAATCAAAAAACATTTTTATATATGCAATACGAAACAGAATGCATAAAATAAGAACAAAGAGAATTTATAAAAAGAAAGTCTCTCTATGTTTGATTAGTAGTTAATACATTCTGTGAATGAGAAATATATAAATAGAAGAACAACTTTTTTTTCTCGGGTTACATGTTTTATGCGTTTTGTTTCTTATTGCAAATTTCAGAATGTCTTTTGTGATGTAATAAGGCATAAGGCTACATCTTTACAATGAATGAACTTAATTCAAAGTACGATCGAATGAATTTTACAATGAGAATATTTCTCGCTCTGAATTGATATTCTAAACAGGTTTAAAATAAATGAGCTTTAACTTGCTTTAATATCAGCGCTTATAAGAGAAATTGTAAAGCTCTTATTCGTTGAGAGCAGACACAGTCTTACAATATCGTCTTTAAGTACGAAGAGACGCACTGTGAAACTTTCTTTTAGAAGTAAACCAACCTCTGCGCTACCTTAGCGAAAGTAAATCTAGTTTGATCTGAGGTACCAAGAAATATGCTCAGAAATACTGCTATTAACACCATATGACTTGGATTATGACATATATCTGCTCGGTACAATTAGGATGGCGGCATCCCACAAAAGGTACTATTGAATCTTCTCACAGTGTAAAGAATACTTGCCTCCATTGTTTTCGGAGAACCGATAAGTATTCACAGAGTTGTAAATTAATTAAGACAAAATTTTAGCAAAAAATTTAATTGCTGGGCCTAGTTTTAAAAACTAACTGTTTGATCAAAACTAATTATACAAACGTGATTCTAGTGTACTTTGATCGAGAATCATTTTTAGTTATGATCGCATTTAAGGTACTGCAGAAAAATCTATGCTGAAATATATCATTAATTAATCCTAATTAACGGCGATTACGGACAGCTCAGCGATTTACATTTTTATTTTCAAATCAACAGTTCTTTGAAAATAAGCACACGATACATCATTCGAAATTCGAATTAGATTTTCAAGCGCTATAAAACTGTATATTGGATTTTCAAAAGAATAGGATTTTGACCGAGTTATGAATTTTTTAATGTTTGATGAACATAGCTTAAAATGGGTTATTTCATCTAGTACAAGTTTTTAATCCGTTCTTGCACTTTCTTCTGAAAATTAACATTGCCACGAGATTCAACGTGGTCGATACCTATGTTTTCGTTATTTCACAAGGTCTTAGAATGAAGAATAAAGTAGTCCCGGGCTTCGGACAAAAATGTCAAAACCTCCCGAACCAAACAAAGTGAAACATTTATTTAGATCCTGTTTTGCAGAAGACACTTTGAACTATCTATCCATGGAAAAAATCGATTGCTTGCTATGTAAAACTTTTGACTTAGAAACTAGTTTTCTAATGATCCTCTGGAAAACCAGTTTTAGAAATCTGTTCAGAAAAGGTTTCAGCTTAGGAAAATATAGATTAAACTGTTCTCTTCCGAATGACGAAAATAACAAGTCTCTATCTTTTATCGTCTTTGAGTTATTTAAAAAACAACCACCGGTCTTATATTTTGCCATGAATACTAATATATTTTAGAAGCTTGTCACTCAACAAAACACGATGAAGAAACGTTTTTGCTCACAAACCTCATCCTTACGTGCCAAATGCGGTACTGAGAGTAATACGTAAAATGTATTTTTTTAAGGCGCCTTTAATGCGCTTTTTTGGAAAGTCGAATTTCACGAAAAAACAAAATTTTTATTAACCGAACTTCATTCAAAGCTGGTAATAGTTTGAGCATATGGGCAGTTCGATCCGTTGATCGATCGGAGTCAGTCTTATCATTAGAAGACGCTTCTTTAATGGACAGTGAACTTTTTTAAAAGCTTCTTAAATTTCCGTAAACTTCTAAAAGTTAAAAGAAAATGGAAAGTAGATGTCTGCGTGGTTCAAACATGTCATGGTATATGTAAGTCAACATAGGTAACAAAGTGATGTGAAAAACCAGGAGGGGGATCCGATGCTCATTAAAAAAAAGATTTTAAAAAATAAAAGAAGATACTTTGTTTTTCAAAGCGTTTTCTGAAAACTCTCTAAAATAAGAGACCCTCCCTCATTAATAAGAGCAGACACTCAGATTAAGAAGATCAAGTAAAATATAAAATTGAAGATTTGCAGCAATTTTTTGGAATTTCTAGTGCATTCCGAAGTTTTTCATTTTTTGTAACTACCGCTCAAAATCGGTTATTTCATTTGATATGGATTTTCAATAGAAACAGACATTGTCTCAAGACTCGGTGTGATGGATAAGGTATGTTTTTATCCGTTCTTGACACGAGTTGCCTAGTTCGAATTCGAATGTAATTCACAATACAAGAGTCTAAGCTTAGTTCGAAAATAAGCGCTGAAAAAAGCAGTCAAGCTAAATAAGAAAAAAAATTTCTTTATCAGATTTGAACTGGTACGAATTCGCATTGCCACACAGGCTTGTCAGTTTCTCTATCCTTCAGTGAGTCTGAATAATGGGAAAACGCTAGAAACTAGGTCTACCCAGGCCTGTTAGTGGATAATATCACTCAACGAAGAGATAAGAGGGGCCACAGTAATAAATAAGAAAAATCGGGGATCGTGATTCCATTGAACAACACAACTGATCGTTTGGTTGCCATGCTAGGCATATCACGTCGACAGGTGTTTAGGCTCAGAAAACGAATGTCAGAGCAGTTGGAGATGGATGTTAGCTCATTTCGACCACGACGCACTTCATCAGCGAGCTCCGGCTCTTCTCTTACAACTCAAATCAGCTTCACAATGCCAAAGTCTCCTCAGAAAAAAAGGCACGTCGGACGAAAAAGTATTGTATTAAATGACTCTCAGCAGGATTTCATCAGGTATGTGCTTAGGTTTTCATTTGAGAAACGATAGCGAACTTTCGGTTTGTTTCGAACAGATATCATTTTCATCTCTGTCTGGCAGAGAAGATTTACCCGACCACAGAACGCCTGTTAGAAAGAATTTTACAGGTTGATCCAGATTTTCCGGTAAAGTCA